TGCCTTTTGGTCAGTTCCTTTTAATGGTTCGTGTTTAACAACAACAGGCTTCACTTTGCTGAGGCCTAAAAAGTTCTGTCAAGTTGCGGTATGGTGCGAGTGAGCCGCACCGGCCCAGGAGCTAGGAGCACAGAATGGTACCGGGCTTGTACAGGGAGGCCTGTACAAGCACGGTACCATTCTGTGCCCCCAACTGAACTGAAATTGTGAAATGCGCCTTTTTCCTTTCTACGGCAGCAAGAGAAAACGAGCTGCTACGATAATTACGAAGATGTATATGTAGTGCGGTGGTGTCGTTAAGTGGCAAATGACGCCGCATTCCTGCTGCAAGGTCCGGGGACCAGAGTCCAACCGCGCCAGTTGTGCCTTTTTTGGGACAGGTTCTTTTGAACTAGACTGTTCGCTGAGCTGAAAATGCTTCACCAGTTGGTCTCCGCAATGATAGCCACATGGGTATGTGACAAGAGAATCGTAATTCACCGCGCTGATGGGCGTCGCGTGCGACGTCGCGCCCGCAAATGACGATGGTTCCAGGTAGTAGATGGCGACAACAGGCAATTCAGAACCGAAAATAGTCATGAATGTCTACGATGACGGGGTCTACATGAAGTCCGGTGCTCCAATCGACAGGTTAACGCAAGAAGAAAACGCCGCGCGCGGCGAAGCGGCGAATTGCGATTCTGTTGCCCGTCTCCCCGCACGGCACAGCCTCGCCGCGCAGACTGTGGCCATCCACTCCCTTTCAAACACGCTTGGCGCAAGTGGGACAATCTATTACATGATAAAGGTTGAGCGTCAGGGCACGTCCTATCGTTGGGGGAAAAGTTGCAAAACAGGGTCGCCCGAAATGTGACACTGTGACACGACGCCCATTCCCCATGCTGCATCATGTTCCTAAATCTTCCCAACTTCCTACCCGCTTTTGCCTTTTTTTCCAGATGTCCTTCAGTTTTTCCCCCAGAAAAACTGCAGCCGAACGGGGCGGGAAGGGGGTGTGGAAAGAATGAGGGTAGAAACAGCGTACATGAAACGGGAAAAACCGAGAGCAGTGATAACCGAAAACATTCTTCTCAGAGGCAAGTTCGACCCCCACCTCCCTACAGCGACCGAATACGCCCCTCCTCCTCTCGGGGAGGGCTTGCTCAGGGAGTGTCACCGCCCTGCACTATGCTGACGCAATGAGCCTGTTCTTCGGATTTTCGCTACTCTTCTCCCCCTTGCCTCGTTTCTTGGTAATAGGCAATCGAATCTAAAGCTTTGCTAATAAAAACTTCCAATTTTCAGCGTTGCTTTGGATTGTCGATTCGTCGGAACCCGATCATTCATCGTGTCTGCTGCACGAAATTGTTCCTTCAACGAGTATGCGAACCATCACTGATTACTGTATTGGCGGATTATCTCCACATCGCTGCCACTAAGGAGATGTACTTGCAAGCGATGGAGGTGAACTTGTTAGATTACTGCCATGAGTGAATCCCTAATCGGAAG